GTCTGGGCTTGGAGGCAGCAGAAGGGAAGGAAAGGGGCAACTCCCCCGGAGTGGGAAAGCAGCACCATCCCTTTGAATCTTGATTATTCACTATTGACAAACCTGCAGCAGAGAAATGCTACAGGAGGGCGAGACTGAGTCCTGCAGCTTCCTTAAAAAAAAAGGAAAAAAAGGGAAGAAAATGCAGGAGGTGGAGTAAGACAACAGCCTGACTGCTTCCAGGGAGAGGAGATAAAATATGGGCAGTGATAATGAATTCACTAGAATAGCTTAAAAAAAAATTAATCAGATGAAGAGAATAAAGGGGATTTGGGGTGGATTTTTTATGTTATGGAGAGGCAGCAGAAGGAAGGCAACTGGGCCGATAATACAAAAATCATTTATCAGCTTAAAGGGGGTTGCTAAGTCACTGCCTGTTTTTGATATAAGCCTGATTTAAGCTTAATCTTAAGGAAATTAAGCCTAAATGGGTCTTAGTGATATCCATGCAAGGAGGGCAAACAGGAACATCAGCAGGAATTTTGTCAGAGTGGAAAAAGAGGCAGGAAATCAGAATTTGGTTCACTTTTCTATTCCACACCACGGAGTGATGTGAACTGGTGTGACCCTCCAAGGCCCGGAATTTATAGTGATTTCTGTCAGCTGGAGACCTTGACACCCTCAAACCCCCTTTGGTCACCCTAAATTTCGGATAAATAACGCCCCAGGTAATCAGCTGGTGGAAATTGGGCTCATTCCAGCTGAGTCAAGAGGGCAAGGACGGACATTTGAGCCCAGCTGAGCCCAAGTCCTGAGAGTATTTCAAGAGAGACAGCTAGGGATGAAAATACTGGGATTTATGGATTCAGGGCCTCGTCCTGGGTGGTGTTGGATGCTCCTTGAGAAGGGAGGAAGGCAAGGAATGAGCACTGCAAGCTGCAGGACAGGCTGGGTGAGCAGGGCTGGGCTCCTGGAAGGTGAATTTTCACCTTCCTGGGAAGGTGAATTTTTAGAGGGATTTATAATTTTTAGAGGGATTTATAATTTTTAGAGGGATTTATAATTTTTAGAGGGATTTATAATATTTAGAGGGATTTATATTTTTCCTGTAGGTTTGTTTTTTTTTTTTTTTTTTTGAGGGTCTCAAGATTTGAACTATCAGATTCAGGGGAGGGGGTTAATTATGGATTGTCAGGGTCACTCACTTCATCTGCAGCAGCCCCCGGGGGCACTTGGGGGGTTGGAATAAGCTGATTTTAAGGTCCTTTCCAACCCCAACCATTCTGGGATGCTGTTCAGCCTCTGTCCTGCTGGGAGGGGAGGGTATGTCAGGCTTTTTTGATGTCAGGCCACAGCATAAAACACAAAAAAAGTCCTGCTGGGCAAACGCTTGTGCTCTGAAAAATTAATAAGTTCATTTTCTTTCCGCTCCGAGCTGGACCTTCCCGAGGCAGAGCTGCACCACAATAACATTTCCTAACACATCCCACTTTTTTCAGCATTCCCATTGGGCTGGGGGTGGTAATTCAGGGCCTCCAAACAAACACTGCCAGGCACTGGTGCTGTTTGCCTCGTGCAGGAACTCTCTGTGTTGCACTGGAAGGTGAAATATTTCTGAGCATTTGCACTGCAGGGACCAGTGAGGGGAAATTTCTGGCAGATTCCTAAAGATTATCAGCTTTCACTCCCCTGGATTTATTGGCTGCAGGGGCAGTTCACAGAACCACGGAATCATGGAATGCTTTGGGTGGAAGGGACCACCAACCATCCCAGGTTGCTCCAAGCCCCCTCCAACCCGGCCCTGTCGAACACCCAGACCCAAATTCCCTGCAGCTCCCCTGCCAAGAACAATTTCACAGCTCCAGACACACTTCAGTCATTTACTCACTTCAAAGAACTCGACTTTCACCACCCCACCCACGTCTCCCAGTGGTGTTTCCCCTGCAGTTGGAAAGCCCTGCACTGCACACGCTGATTTTAGGAGGCCTGTGGGATGTTCTCCTTCATGGCCTCGGTTCAAAGGGTTTGTGGGATCCCACAGAGCAGCAGGAGATACTGAATTACCCCAGTGAAGGACTTTTGGCCTGGAGTTTGATGGTTAATAATTGAAATATATCCAATAAACGTTTCAGATCCTGCCACAGATTCCTGCAGCTTTCTCTGGTGTTCTGTGGGATAACAGCACACCCTTGGGTGAGAGGGAAACTCTGGGACAGATGTTCATGTCTCTGATTTTCCACCTATAAATTCCAGCAAAATGTTGAATCCTTGGCCAGCAAAATCCCTGTCCCTGCCACTGAACTGGACATGGAATTCTGTCCCCCCACTCCTCTAACTGCCATTTGAGTAATTAATTATAGGTGTGTGATGGACTTTTTGTGGGAATCACAGCCCATGGAATGCTTTGGGTTGGGAGGGACCTTCAGGATCGTTTAATTCCAACCCCCTGCCATGGACAGGGACACCTTCCCCTATCCCAGGTTGCTCCAGCCTGGACTTGGACACTTCCAGGGATCCAGGGGCAGCCACAGCTGCTCTGGGAATTCCAGCCCAGCCCCTCACCACACTCCCAGGGAAAAAGTCCTTCCCAATATCCCATCTAAACCTGCAGTTACAGGCTCTGTTCCCAACCAGAGCACATGGAGGCATCTCCCTGAAGTTACTGGGGCACCACTAATATTAACTTTGATTTTAAATTGGGGGTTAGTTTTGATTTCAAATTCACTTTCCACTCTCCCCAGAGCTCCCCATCCCCAAAGCTCCACCCTTCCCAGAGCTCTCAGCCCCACTTGCACCACCAGCACTTTGCCTGTCTTTAAATCCATTCTCTCAGGGTCTCTGTCAGGTCCAGAATATTCTGAACAAGCCTGTCCAGGGAGGAGATATTTGGGAAAAAATGATCCCTAAATATTGGGGTGCTTGCACATCAACCCAGGCAGGTTTTCCTGGCATCTGTATGCTGCAACTGTGCTAAAAAATGGGAATTCTATCCCAATAATTCCCCTGACTGCTGGGATGACACTCGTGTGTGATGCCCAGGGCAGAGTTAACTGTTCCCAGAGAAGAACTGCATCCCAGCATCCCATCTAACAGTTTGAAGCCGAGGGAAAAGCAGAGTCAGCACCCAAAGGAACTGTGACCCTTCCCAGAGACCCTCCTGGAGCGAAGGCCACGGAGAAAGACAGGTATTGGAAAACTTGGGTCCTACCAGACAAGCCAAAACCTGACACAGCAGAAACCAGCCTGCCTAGAACAGCTTTTTTTTATTATTATTTTTAAGGCAGAAAGAGTTTGGAGGTGAAGGTTAACGAGGCAGAAGGAAGATCCCACCTCTGAAGGGAAGGAAGACACTGAGCCTCAGTTTCCTTTCTTTTGTATCATCACCTACAGGCACATAAAGGACCAACCCTGCAAAGGAGGAGCTCTGAGCCAAGCCCAGGCACAAGAAAACTTGGATTTAACTGCCTGGGATGAAAAAGGGTTTTATTTCCTTGGTGCTTCCCTGCCCTGCCCGGTTTTCTCACCACTCCTTTTTTGCCACACGTGTTGCCCTGATGTTTCAAACTGAAAATTGCCATCCAGAAAATATATATATCCAGGTCAGGGTAGCAATCTTCTGCTGATAAAGTGATCAAAAATAGCTCTTCCTACCTCCTTTGGAGTGTTAGTGTTTTTTTTTTTTTTTTTTTTCTCTCCTAGTCTTCCCTTTCTAAAAATATCCCTTTGAAAAGTGGCTGCAATTCTGCCTTTTATGACCACTTTTCCTGGAGCTGTACATCCCAGATGACAACGCTGCCATAGGGCAAAGCTATTTTTAGAGTGCTGCTTCCCAGGGAAAAAAAAAATGGGGAGAAATCATTGTAGGCTGGAAATTAGGGGGAGTTGGGCACAGGAACAGTGAACTCTGCCCCTGGGTACCACACATGGGTGTCATCCCAGCAGTCAGGGGAATTATTGGGATAGAATTCCCATTTTTTAGCACAGTGGCAGCATACAGATGCCAGGAAAACCTGCCTGGGTTGATGTGCAAGCACCCCAATATTTAGGGATCATTTTTTCCCAAATATCTCCTCCCTGGACAGGCTTGTTCAGAATATTCTGGACCTGACAGAGACCCTGAGAGAATGGATTTAAAGACAGGCAAAGTGCTGGTGGTGCAAAGGGGGCTGAGAGCTCTGGGAAGGGTGGAGATTTGGGGATGGGGAGCTCTGGGGAGAGTGGAAAGTGAATTTGAAAATCAAAACTAACCCCCAATTTAAAATCAAAGTTAATATTAGTGGTGCCCCAGTAACTTCAGGGAGATGCCTCCATGTGCTCTGGTTGGGAACAGAGCCAGTAACTGCAGGTTCATATGGGATATTGGGAAGGACTTTTTCCCTGGGAGTGTGGTGAGGGGCTGGGCTGGAATTCCCAGAGCAGCTGTGGCTGCCCCTGGATCCCTGGAAGTGTCCAAGGCCAGGCTGGAGCAACCTGGGATAGGGGAAGGTGTCCCATGGTAGGGGGTGGCACTGGATGAGCCTTAAGACCCCTTCCCACCCAAACCATTCCATGTGCTGCTTTAGATTGGATATTTGAAGAAATTTTGGATGCCCCTGGATCCCTGGAAGTGCCCAAGGCCAGGTTGGAGCACCCTGGGCTGGTGGAAGTTGGCCCTGCCCATGGCAGGGGGTGGCACAAAACAATCTTTAAGGTCCCTCCCAACTCAAACCATTCCATGACTGGGTCATCCAGGAGGATTTCTGCTCCCAGTCCCCATGCAGGGATGATTTGTGGCAGCTCTCAGTGCTTTGGGGGTGGGCTCAGCTCCTCCTGGTCCACTGGGGTTCATCTTCCCTGTCCCTCTGCTTTCCTTCCCTCCCCTCTCCTCCCAGTACCAGGCTGGACAGGGCTTGGATCACCCTGGGCTGGTGGAGGGTGTCCTTGCCCATGGTAGGGATGGAACAAAACAATCTTTAAGGTCCCTCCCAACTCAAACCATTCCATGACTGGGTCATCCAGGAGGATTTCTGCTCCCAGCCCCCTGTGGCAGCTCTCAGTGGTTGGGGTGTGGGCTCAGCTCCTCCAGGTCCACTGGGGTTCATCTCCCCCCTCCCTGTCCCTCTTCCTCCCTTCCCTCCCCTCTCCTCCCAATCCCTGGGACATTCCCCTTTCCCTTCCTTCTCTTGCCTTGTTTTTCACTGAGGCAGAAGCAAAGCACTCCAAAAGGGATGATCCTGACTCCTAAAACAAAAGGCCCGAGCCCAGGAACCACGTTCCCCCTGCCAGGCTAATTTGTATCTGGGTTAATTGCTCTCATGCTGGATGTTTAATTGATTTGTGTGCAGAAAGCCACTGAGAGGCTGCAGCTCAGTGACAGCTCCACAGAACTGCACTGACTCCCTTATTTTTCTTTTTAATTAGTGCAAAAGCAAGAGTGTACCTTGCAAAAGGCTGCTGGGCTCTCGGGGGGATCAGTTACTGTGGAGATGCTGGACATAAAAGAGTTTATTTTTCTGAGCAGTGCTGGGGAGGTTTTTCCAGGTAAGAAAGTTCCACAGAAAATTAAAAAAATAAAAGAAGTGGCCATTAAAGTGGTGCTTGTTGGAGGACTCACCTTGTACTGTGTGGGTGAAAAACCTGACAATTTAATAATATTAATTATCACCTTGGCCAAAGAGCTCCAAGGAGCCCGGGCAACCTGATTTATGGAAATCTGAGCTGTGTTTTGGCTGGAATGTCAGCTCAGTTTTTCCAGTCTTTTTCTTGTAACATCTAAATAATATTCTGAGCAGAAATAACTATAAGCTGATTAGGGGGGAAGCAATAAATACGAATCAAATCCAATCATGCAGGGACTCAGGGGAAGCAAATCGATAATTTTCCTAACATGTTCTGCAAACTCATGTTCCTGGGGAAAAAAAATCCACGTGGCTCCTCTAAGTCTTGATTAAGCAGGAGCTGGGAGCCTTCCCTTTCATCTCAAGGTCCTCAGCTGGGGTAAAACATCAGAGGTTTTGATATAAATTTAAAAGCAGTGGTGTCAGTTTGCAGCGAGTCAAAGCCAGGAGGGAACAGAACACCCACAGGGGACAGGCTGGGAAAGCCACCTTTCCTGAGGGGATGGAGGAGAAGAGGGAATTGTGAAATTATTCCATAATCTGATTTAAAAATGGAAAAAAAAAAAGATATTTTTTAAGTGCTTCTATTTTTTTGTTGCTGTTATTTCAAATCAATGCCTGTTCTGGACAGTTGTACATTGGATTATGACCGAGGTGGTCACGAGCCAGGAGCTTGTTTGTCATTTTGGGATGGAAGGAAAGCTCATCAAAAATGTGTTTGTTTTTTTAAATTTGCCAGCATCAAATGTATTTCTGTAACCCTTGAAATGATTGTATTCATTGGTGCCCTGGAGCCTCCTCTTGGCTTTGAGACTCCAACATTCCTGGTTTTCAAGTCTTTGTCTGTCTGACCCTCCACCACCACATGGAATTCTTTCTTCTCCCCACCAAAGTGAGGGTGAGAAGGACCCACAGGGGCAGAAAACACCTCAACAGAGAGGATTTCAAGTGGTTCTGTGGTCACAGTGATGCCACAAGACCACGAGGTGCCAACGTGGTGCAGCTGCTGCGTTGCTTTCTTTTTAATTCCGAGCTTCAGACTGACATTGTCTCTCATTAACTGACTCCACCTCAATTAACTGCAGGCACAAAACAGTCAGAGAAGGGAATTTGGAAGTTACCACGTGTCAATCTGAAGGTCAGAATGTCCTGCATCGTCCCCTGAGACGCTCCTGGCCTTGGCAGAGCAGGTTGTGTCTGGAATTCTGTCAGTGGGGGGGTTTGGAATTCAAAAGCCAGGCAAACAAAGACTCTCCCAGCTGATCTCTTAACCCGATTTCCTTATGGATCCAGTGGGAATTATTTGTGGAGAACGAGAGGAAGCTTCACCTAATAATCTCATTTCTTCAGAGAGCCACAGTCTGCTCCCTCTACCCCCCTGTCTGTGCCTTGCAGTGACCTCTCCATCCTCACACCACCGGCCAAGGTGGCAACAAACTTCTTCCAGTGGCTCCCACTGGTTTTCCTACTGACTTTTCCCTGTTTCAGTACAATCCCCTCTCCTCTCAGTGGCAGGAAAAACACCCATTCTGTGGATGCTGCTGCTCCCTCTTAAAAAGTTTAATTTCTGACTGGTTTTGATTTCTTACTGGTTTTATAACACTTGTAATTCCAGAGATGACACAGAGCTCATGCCGAGGCCTCGGTTTATTGGACACTTCTCCCCTCTCCTTGCCCGAGGCTCTCCCTGCATCCCCAGCTCTCCTGGATTGTCCTTGGCATGGAGTGGATTACCCAAGTCAGCAGACAGCAGGCACAGCCTTATCCAGCTTTTTCTTTGGATGGAACCCAGTGGAGCTTCCCAAGGTCAGGCTGGGGCAGCTGGCGAGGCTTCAGTGGGATTTTCGTGGTCCTTTTGCAGCAGAACTCGCTGCTGCTCTGACAGATCCTGCACTGCCATAAATCAGGCTCCTTAACGAGCTTTCCCATGTTCAGAAGCTTTTCCCAAATGGAATTATCTCCTGGGTTATCACTGCCAGGTGGGGGATACAACCTGTGCACGCTGCACAGGGGGAGGAGGGATCACGAGGCAAAAGGGTCAGGAATGGGACTGACAGGCACGGGGGGTTGGAACAGACTCTTCCTGCTCATCCCAGGGAAAAGTCAGGAGTGGATTTGTGCCCTTGCCAGGGGTGACACTCTGCAGTGGAAAGGGAAGCAAATCCCAGGGGGTGGCAGCTGACGTCAGTGGTGCGAAGGAGAGCAGCCTCCTCCTGCTGCTCCAGGCTGTGGGAGCCTGGAGAGGCCTCCTTGGCTTCCTAGGGAGAGGGAAAGGAAGAAAGGAAGGAACCTGCCCTTCTGAGCGGGGCTTGGACAAGAACCTTCCTTGGACACACCAAACTTCGCTGTCCACAACTTTCTCCCGGGATTTTTTCTGCCACAGCCCCAATCTTTGCATCCCAGAACCACAGAATGTGCTGAGCTGGGAGGGACCCACGAGCATCATCCAGTCCAACCCTCAGCCCTGCACAGGCCCTGTGCCCCAGGGAATCATCCAAACCCTCCTGGAGCTCTGGCAGCCTTGGGACTGTGCCCACTGCCCTGGGGAGCCTGGGCAGTGCCCAACCAGCCTCTGGGGGAAGAACCTTTTCCTGAGATCCAACCTGAGCCTGCCCTGACACAGCTCCAGCCATTCCCTGGGTTATCCTCTTCTTCCATGTATTTCGTGTTCCAGGAGAAGTGGAACTGCACCCTGTGGTCCCTGGGCCCAGCACACTGTCGCTGCTTAATTACAGCACCCACCAAGGGCTGGAATTCGGGCTAATTATGCACTTCCTTCCCTTTGTGGTGGTAGTGTTCACATCCAGGAAATCCATGCCATTATTGGGGCCTTCCAGGACCTGAAGGAGCCAACAAAGAAGGTGGAGAGAGACTATTTACAGGGGCCTGGAGTGTCAAAAAAAAGGGGAATGGCTTCAACCTGACAGAGAGTGGGTTTAGATTGGATATTAGGAAAAAAATCTTTACTGTAAGGGTGGGCAGACCCTGGCACAGGTTGCCCAGAGAAGCTGTGGCTGCCCCTGGATCTCTGGAAGTGTCCAAGGCCAGGTTGGAGCATCCTGGGCTAGTGGAAGGTGTCCCTGCCCATGGCAGGGGGTGGAACTCGATGATCCTTAGGGTCCTTTTGAACTTAAACCATTCTCTAATTCCCTGTTTCTCCTGTGTGTGGTGCAGAGTGTCTGAGCCGGCTCGTTTCCCTCTGGGACTTGGAGCTGTTTCCGAGAGCAGCTCACGTTTCAACAACTGCAATTCTTGTTGGCAAAACCTTTAATCCAGCCCTGAGGTCCCCCAGTTTGTCTGGTCTCCCAACAGGGCCCCTCTTTCCCCCTCTGCCACCGGGGACCCGTGGCCACAGCATTTCATCCTGCCCAGCTTCTGATGAACGTGGAGCTAATGACACTGATGAAACCAGCTCCATGGTGCTGCATTTGAGATCCCCTGATGAGGGTTCCCAGACAAAGGGGAGGGGTTGTTTGTCATCTCTCCTAATGGGAACCACTCAGGTGTGAAATGTTCTGCTTTAGGTTGGACCTTGGGCTCACCTTGAGCCCCTACAACAAAGTCACAGAAGCACAGAACGGTTCGAGTCGGGGGGGACCTGAAAACTCATCTTATTCCATGCCTGGGCCACCACTGGACACCTTCCACTGGCCCAGGTTGCTCCAAGCCCTGTCCAGCCTGGCCTGGCACCCCCAGGGATCTTATTGAAGTCACTGTGTGATGATGCTTGAAGGGGAAAACTCAAGGTGTGGTGGGGAAAACTGCCAGAATTTCCAGTTTTCCCACGTTTTCAGGGCTCCACAGCCCAGCCCCTTCCCCCGGATCAGGATCAGCAGCTCCAGGGGCAGCACAGCCCTGTGTGTGCTGGGCACGTGTGGGCTGGGCCAGGGGGCACCGAGGGAACGGGGCTTTGGGGACCCAGAACTGCCCCAGCCCTGGGGAGCTGAGAGCTCCTGCTCCTCCCTCATCCTCATCCCAAAACTGGTTCCCTTCCAGCCCTTGGATCCAAAACAGAGCCATTTCCCCCATTTCCACTCAGCAGCAGAGTCATGGAATCACAGAGTGGTTTGGGTGAGGAGGGACCTTCAAGATGATTTAATTCCACCCCCTGCCATGGGCAGGGACACCTTCCACCAGCCCAGGTTGCTCCAAGCCCTGTCCAGCCTGGCCTTGGACACCCCCAGGGATCTTATTGAAGTCTCTGTGTGATGATGCCTCGCAGGGGAAACTCAAGGAGTGGGGTTGTTGCCAGGATTGCCAGTTTTCCTGCATTTTCAGGGCTCCACAGCCCAGCCCCTTCCCCGGGATCAGGATCAGCAGCCGGTTCCATCCCCTCCTGCCGCCTCTGGATTTTCCCTGTTTTCCACAGCCAAGCACTGCTCTCCTGTGGAGCTGCAGGGACTGCCAGCCCCCATGGCACATCTGCCAGCTTGCCATGGGCTTGGGAAGCCTTTCCAAGCTTTGCCCTCTCTGAATAGCGTTATTTTTTTTTAATCCGTATTTTTTTAACACGTGTTTCAGGGTATCTGTATTTTCAGGATATTCAGGCTCAGTGCTGTTAAAACCCCCCGAAAATCTGGTGTGTTCAGGGCTGCATTTCCCAGGTGAGACGTTTCCCTCTGCACATCCCAAGGTTCCCGCACTTGATGCAAATCCCAGAGAATGAGTGACTCGACTAAATCCAGGTGTAAAATCCCCATCCAGGGTTCACCTGCCCTGGATAAGGATCCTGTTGTTCACCCTCCTCGTCCTCGGGCTTTGTTTGGAGCCGGGGGGGGCTCATTTCTCATTATTTTCCGTACCTTTATCAAACTCTCCCACCGCAATTCCCTTTCCAGAGCAATTCCCTCCCCCGGAGCGTTTTCCATTTGCCACAGGTCATTGTGCTGCCTCACCGGAGCGACCGGGGAGGGGTTTATTGCCTTTTGTTCGGGCCGGGTGATTTGGGAGCTGGTTGAAAAGCAGGGTTTAAATGTGCCGGCAAAAAGGATTTTTTTGTTCTGCAGAAACCCAAGAAGAGGAGAAAAGTCCGGGAAGCAGAAAAGTGTCCCGGGGGCAGGGAGGGATCCTGCAGGACAAATCTCAGCCTCACCTGAGGATCCATCCATGGGAAGAGGGAAAGAAGTGACCCCACATCCACCCACAGGGAGAGGAGTGACCTCACATCCATCCCCAGTGCCAGGCAGAGGGGTGACCCCATATCCATCCAGAGGGAGAGGAGTGACCCCATATCCTACAGTGCTCCTGGAGATGGAGATGGGGTCACCCCATGGATGGATATGGGGTCACCCCATGGATGGATATGGGGTCACCCCTTTTCCTCTCCCTCTGGATGGATATGGGGTCATTCCTCTCCCTCTGGATGGATGTGGGATCACCCCTTTTCCTCTTACCATGGATAAATATGAGGTCACTCCTCTCCCTGTGGATGGATATGGGGTCACCCCTTCCCCTCTTACCATGGATGGATGTGGGGTCACCCCTTTCCCTCTCCCTCTGGATGGATATGGGGTCACTCCTCTCCCTCTGGATGGATATGGAGTCACCCCTTTCCCTCTTCCTGTGGATGATATGGGATCATTCCTCTCCCTCTGGATGGATGTGGGGTCACTCCTCTCCCTCTGGATGGATATGGGATCACCCCTTTCCCTGTGGATGGATATGGGGTCACCCCTTTTCCTCTCCCTTTAGATGGATATGAGGTCACCCCTCTCCCTCTGGATGGATATGGGGTCACTCCTCTCCCTCTGGATGGATATGGGGCCACTCCTCTCCCTGTGGATGGATATGGGATCACCCCTTTTCCTCTCCCTTTGAATGGATGTGGGGTCACCCCTTTCTCTCTCCCCGTGGATGGATATGGGGTCACTCCTCTCCCCGTGGATGGATATGGGATCACTGCTCTCCCTCACACCCCTGCCTGAAAGGCTCCCAAAGCACCCTCCCGTGAGTCAGCACGCCAGCCTGGGCTGGATCTGCTCCTCCCAAAGATTCCAGCAGCTCCCGATGAATTAAACATGGCCAAGCCCCGCTTCCATCCCCGAGCTCCCACCCCGCTGCTTTCCAGGCTTTTTTTATGTTCCACCCCCAGAAAACGAGACACAGAACCCGGGAAGCCCTTGATGTGCAGCTCGGGAACGTGGAATTCCCAGGGAAAGGCGGAATTCCCAGGGAAACGCTGATTTCCGAGGGAAGGCAGCTCCGTGCAGAGCTGTGGGGGGCACATCCTTAAATTCCCGATTACAGGAGGGGGGTTTTCTACAATTTATCCCGGAGAAACTGTGGAAAACTCCCGAAGGGAGCAGCGGATGGTGCTGCTGCACATCCTACAGGGATCCGTGACTCAGGAGAGGATGGGGAGAGAAGTGGGGAGGATGTTCTGGGTGATAATGGATGTCTAAGCGATAATGGGCTTGAATCCTAATTAACGTTAATGGCTCGCGTTTCTATGGAATGCAAAGAGCGCGTTCGGGGAGACTGAGACAAAAATAGACACTTTTTTATTTTTTTATTAATTTTTTTTTTAAGGCACGAAGCTTTAAACTCCAAGGACCAGACACCAGAGTCACTGTGCAGTTATTTGATGCATTTTAGCCACAGAAAAAGAAAAAAAAAACTAAAAAAAACCCCCAAAACCTTGTTCTTCAGGAGCTTGTGGGGACTGGGAAATGCGTGGCCTCTTTTTTTTTTTAACACCCTGATAAACGATGCTCCTCGTCCACGACTCTGTCACTGGGCTGATGTGGATAAAAAGTCGCCCTTTTTTTGGGTGTGCCTTGAAATCCTGCAACAAGGATTCGAGGCAG